AACATTTCAATGGTGCTTTTCATTAAGGACCTATGAGCTGTTCAAATATGAAAGATATGCTTTAATATTAGTCTTCATTTCTGGAAAAAAATACAATCTGCAATCTTTTAGTTCAGCCGGTTTCGTGAATGATTTTCCTTTAAGATTTATTTAACTATTCCTTAGTTCGCATGATTTAAATAGCTTGTTGGTAATATCATTTAAAGGACATAAACATTTAAAAGGAATAAAGCCTTAACGAGACCCTTTCTTAAACAAATAAGGCTATACACAGTAAGCATTGTTTTAAAGCACAATTGTGCGGCAAATTGTAGTCTGTTCAATAAATGAACAGTTTAGTTATCTAGAAGTAAGCAGACTATACCAGCTTCCACGAAAGCAGGTTAGCGTCGCTGCAAGACTCAAGATGAAAGTCGCAGTCAAAATTTTACTGGTTTTGCAATTATTTTTTGGAGCTGGTAAGTGGGATGCCCTTATTGTTCTGAGTAAGAAGCTTAACTCTAAAGTGAGATTTATCAGTTTTAACTTTGGTCAATACCCCTGCATCGTGGAAATTGTAGGTCATGTTAGAGATTAACCGTTCCCATTTTTTCAGCAGAGTAAAATTGTATTTTAGTGTTCTTGCCATCACAAGACAGATAACTCCTCACAAGTCATTCGATAAAGCGCGAATCGATCGGAAAAGCCCGTCAAGAAAGAATGTCTCCATTACGGAGCATAAAAGTTCAGTACCTTAATAAGTAATTACAACTGCGATCCGGGGACAACGCTTGGCAAGTAAACGACTTAGATTAATTCAACTAACGAATCTCGCGATTTAACTGAATCTCTCCAGTGTAGGAATTGGGCCCAGCTATAAAAGATCCAAAGAAAGCTTTCAGTTTCAAATGGAAATAAGAAAAAGAATTCGTCGTCGTTTATTGTTCACCAAAATACTCAGAATTTCATCAATTCACACTGTTCGTTTGCTGAGCATGGCTATACTCACAAGCACTGTGAGCGATATGTTTGCGTTCTTCATATAGCTTTAACTCGTTATTGGCAGGGTTACACTCAAGCTTCGCTAATCGGCTTGCTTGTGGAAAATTTCGCCGGGATTTAAACCTTTCCTTTGCTTTCTTCGAGCCCTTTGCATACTTCCAATTGAATTTGTTATTCGGAAAAAATACTCGTCTCCTTTCGCTGCCAAATTGACAGTGTGTTTACCCGTATTACGTTCACTAAAATTTATACTTTCGAAGTTTCACTGAATCTAAGCACGTGCGGCCAAAC